GGTCTGGAACTAGGTAGACCAGGCTGGCCCTGAACTCACAGAGATCTGCCTGTCTCTGCCTCTGGAGTGCTGGGATTAAAGGCATGTGCCACCACGTCCAGCTTATTTTTCTTTTTAGTTTTGAGATAGGGTCTTGCTTTATAGCCTTTACTGGCTTGTCACTCACCATATAGACCAGGCTGGAAATATTCCTGGGTTCTGAGACAGTAGGCCTGTGCCACCTTGACTGATTTCATTCTCCACCTTCCACCTCAAACATCCCCACAGTTTTTTGTTTTGTTTTGTTTTGTTTTAAGGCAGGGTCTCATGTATCCCAGGCTGGCCTCAAACTTGCTATGTTGTTAAAGATGGCCTTGAGCTCTTGATCCTCCTGCCTCCACCTGAGATGGGATTCCAAGTATTCACAATCAGAGCCTAGCTTTCCACAGCGTTCTTTCAAGATGCTCTTCCTTGCTTCCTGGAGAGTGTGTTTGAACCCAGCCTCCGATGCAAACCTTGCCCTGTTTCTTGTGTATTTTGGGGTTTCCAGTAAAGAAGGATTGTTGCTGGGGATGATGAATGGCTTTCCTTAATAGGTCATTAGTTCTCACAGGGAACACTTCCTCCACAGTGAAGAATCTGGACTACCCTGAACAGAACAATGGAAAACTTAAGCAATAATGTTCTTAAGCTGAGCTCAGTGAAAATGACAGAAAGTTGATGTTATATTTGAATGAGCCCTTCAGGGTGACCCTTGTTACTCTAGTTCCTTTCCCATTATGGTGTGACCTCATCCTTGTTTGGTTTTGGTAGGTGCCAGCCAAGTTTTATTTGTTTATACAAATATATATTATATATTCTATATTCTATTTGTTTACTCTTCTTTTTTAACTTAAAATTTATTTTTATCTTATGTGTATGAGTGTTTGTCTGCATGTATGTAAGCATACCTGTGAATGCAAACCTGTGACAGTCAGAAGAGGGTGTTGGATCCCCTGGGAATGGAGTTACAGATGATTGTTAGCTGCCATGTGGTTGCTGGGAACCAAATTCAGGTCCTCTGGAAGAGCTAGTAAGCACTCTTAACATATGAGCCATCTCTCCAGTCCTTGATGTTTAATAAATGTCTACTGATTTGGCTGGCATGGTAGCTCCTGCTTGTTAGCCCAGCATTATGGAGGTTGAAGCAGGGGGATTATCATGAGCTTGTTAACAGCTTGGGTCACATAGCAAGATCCCGTCTTAAAAAAATTCTTTCTGATTTATACGACATTCTAATAAACTCAATAAATTATTGCCTAATATAGAATTCTTTCTCTGTTTTTTAATTTTTTAAAATTTATTTTTATTTTATGTGTATGAGTGTTTTGCCTGCATGTATGTAAGTGTGCCCATGTTGTACAAAGTCTGCAGAGGCCAGAAGAGAGTGTCAGATCCTCTAGAACTAGAGTTAGGGATGGTTGCTAGCTGCTATGTGGGCTCTGGGAACCGAACCTGGGTCTTCTGGAAGAACAGCAAGTGTTCTTAACCACTGAGTCATCTCTCCAGCTCCCTTTCTGTTTTTGAAACATAGTCTCACTATATAGAAATTGGCTGACCTGGAACTCGCAACTACAAGACCAGGCTGAATCTCACAGAGGTCCACCCGTCTCTGCTTCCTAAGGACTGGGATTATAGACATGCACCACCATGCTCGACTCTAACGTGGAATTCTAAATATAGACAATACAATATTCAAAAGTGACTGAGAAAAGAATGTGGCACATTCTAAAGTTGGAGGTAGAAAAATGTTGTAAAATATTGTCCACAAAAACCCAAAGCCTGAGAAGTAAAATAACTGTCCTTTTGCAATAATAGCTTCACCCAATCACTTCTTTACGGGTTTATCACACAATGCCTGGGATTAGAACATCTCCATCTTACCCTGTATTCCAGGCTGGCTTCCAGCTCTCTATGTAATGGAGGATGATCTTGAATTTCTCATCCTTCTGCCTCCACTTACATAGTGCTCAGATGACAGGCATGTACACCACCTTCAGTTTATGCACTGCTGGGTGTAAAACCAGGATTTGGTGCATGCTAGGCCACATCCCACCAACTGAGCCACATTCCCAGACCAATGATATCATTTGATAATCAATTCCATTCAATATGATACCCTCCTCAAAGTTGATATTTCAACTTTCCCATTTAGGCTTCTCTTTAGGAGGATGCGGAGAAAGAAGCTGAAATTTTGAAAACTCATATGAGCCAGGTCGAGTGGTACAGACCTGTGTTCCCAGCTACTCAGGAAGCTGAGACAGGAGGATTGAAAGTTCCAGGCCAGCCTGGGGTACAAACTGAATTCCAGTTTAGCCTAGACTATAAAAGGAGGT